GACACGGAAAACCGTCATAAACACAGGTTGCCAAGCCCCCAAAATTTGGACTAGACAAGTGTGGTGAATGCTCCGATGGTCATAAGTGCAAGGACCGCATCACAGGTCACTTTCCCCCCCCCCCCCCCGGCGCAGTTGTAACTTTGGTTGCGAAATGGATGGTCGTACACTGAGAATTACCTGTAGTTATCCAGCGAGCTGAGCTGGGCTGTCACCTTTGATCCTTTGTCTCCAGGTTCGATGAGATCCTGGAAGCCAGCGACGGCATCATGGTGGCTCGTGGGGATCTGGGGATCGAAATCCCCGCCGAGAAGGTTTTCCTCGCCCAGAAGATGATGATCGGCCGTTGCAACCGGGCGGGCAAACCTGTGATCTGCGCCACGCAGGTGAGCGGTACCCAAATGCACCATACCTGGCGGGTTAGGCGCCTTCCGTCAACAGGTGCCGCCTTTTCATCGAAGGGACACAAAAGGAGGACCAATCCTGGGGCGGGTCGAAATGATTGGAGATGAATGGAGAGAACTGCCTCCCATTGGCCCTGAAAACAAGGGTGGAAGGTTGATTGAGATGCGGGGACTTCAACTCCCAGAACCCCCCAGTTAGAATGCTTTAAGAGAGGTGGACTTCAACTCCCAGAACCCCCCAGCCAGCATGCTTTAAGTGGGTTGGACTTCAACGCCCAGAATCCCCCAGCTAGAATGCTTTAAGTGGGTTGGACTTCAACGCCCAGAATCCCCCAGCCAGCATGCTTTAAGTGGGGTGGACTTCAACTCCCAGAACCCCCCAGCAAGCATGCTTTAAGTGGGTTGGACTTCAACTCCCAGAATCCCCCAGCCAGCATGCTTTAAACAATTTTATTTGGATTTTCACAAAACAAAAAAAGAAAAGTAGAACATCTTTTTAGTGAACAGCATGTTTCCAGGTTTTCACATCTCCATACAGCTATAATTTCACTTACCTATTCCTTTTTCATATTCAGTTTCTTGTCTTATCACTCACTACTTTATGCATTTTCTATTTATTCTTACTCAAATACCTCCCTCAGGCTTATTTTATAGTTTCCTCATTCATTTCCGGATCTATTTCATTTCCTTTTCAAAGTTTCCATATCCTCACAATCATTGTACTTGTTGTACTTTTGTCTGTCCTGTTTACTGTCCTGTCCTGTTTACTGTCCTGTTCACTACATATTCTTACATCATCATTTCCCAAAAGCTTCCTCCACATTTCAAATATTCCAAAACAAGGTTTCCCCTGTAATTATCATTTAGAGTGTGTCACCTATATATCTTGTAAATAGTTCCCTTTCGAATGCCATTAAACATTCTACTTTTAAAAAAAACACAATTATAACATTCATCTCCTAATAACTATTATAACATAAATCCTTTTTCAATCAGATTCTGCATGGTACTTCCCCCTTCAATTACCTCTAAACTATTTTGAATTTCTATAATAAAGCCAGCATCCTTTAAGATGGGTGGACTTCAACTCTCAGAATCCCCCAGCTAGCTTATTTTAAGATGGGTGGAGTTCAACTCCCAGAATTCTCCAGCTAGCTTATTTTAAGATGGGTGGACTTCAACTCCCAGAATTCTCCAGCTAGCTTATTTTAAGATGGGTGGACTTCAACTCCCAGAATTCCTCAGCCGGCGTAATTTAAGAAGGGTGGACTTCAACTCCCAGAATTCCTCAGCCGGCGTAATTTAAGAAGGGTGGACTTCAACTCCCAGAATCCCCCAGCCAGCATGCTTTAAGAGGGGTGCACTTCAACCCCCAGAATCCCCCAGCTAGAATGTTTTAAGAGAGGTGCAGTTGTGGAGCTGAGACGCCATTTTCTTTTGCCAGATGCTGGAGAGCATGGTGAAGAAACCTCGCCCCACCAGGGCCGAAAGCAGCGATGTGGCCAACGCCGTTTTGGACGGAGCCGACTGCATCATGCTGTCCGGGGAGACGGCCAAGGGATCTTACGTGGTGGAGGCTGTGCAGATGCAGCATGCGGTAAGGGAATCCTTGAGCAATTCGAAGGCAGCTTGCCCTAAGGTTGGTCTGAGCAGGGCAGAAGAGTGGAGGAGGGCGGAAGAGGAGAAAACAGACGACCAGTCTAGGAAGGAAAACGTTGGGTTGAGCATGGCCATAATGGAAGAGGAAGAAGGGAGGAGGAGGGAAGAGGAAAATGAACAACAAAAACCTATGGATCCAGGAAATGTTAGAAGGAAAACGTCGGTTTGAGTGTGGTCACAGCAGAAGAGGAAGGAGGGAGGAAGAGAAGGAGGGAAGAGGAAAACACCCAACCAGCCTAGGAAGCCAGGAATCTAGAAGCAAAATGTTGGTATGAAATGGTCATGATAGAAGAAGAAGAAGAAGAAGAAG